AAAGGAAACCCTGGTAGCCTTTTGCACTGTCATTCATCTTTTTTTATTTTTATTTTTTATTTTTTGACAGGCAGAGTGGACAGTGAGAGACAGAGAGAAAGGTCTTCCTTTGTCGTTGGTTCACTCTCCAATGGCCGGGCGTGGCTGGCCTGCTGCGGCTGGCGCACCGCGCTGATCCGATGGCAGGAGCCAGGTGCTTCTCCTGGTCTCCCATGGGGTGCAGGGACCAAGCACTTGGGCCATCCTCCACTGCACTCCCGGGCCACAGCAGAGAGCTGGCCTGGAACAGGGGCAACCGGGACAGAATCCGGCGCCCGGCCGGGACTAGAACCCAGTGTGCCGGCGCCACAAGGCGGAGGATTAGCCTAGTGAGCCACGGCACCAGCCCTGTCATTCATCTTAAGGAAGAGCAAATTCAAACAATAAGATAAAATTATTACCCATTACATCGTCAAATATTGAGACGCTTAAATTAAGAATACTCAATGTTCTCACCAGTTAGAGGAGAAACAGACATGCCCTGTTGTTGGAAGTTATCAGTTGGTGCAATTTAAAAATGTAAATTTGGTGACATCCATCAAAAATCTGATGTATCTATCACCGACCCATTAAATCCATTTCTAGATGTCTGGTCCCTATCGATGGACGTGGCGGAAGATGCCTGCACACGAGCCGGTGCACTGGATCAAGTGTCCCCAGCAGGGAAAATCAGCTCAGTGCAAATCAACTGGGAGTCCAACCTTTTTCTTTCACAAAGACTTCCTTAATAAGGAGCACCACATTTGGGCCGGTGCTGTGGCCCAGCAGGTTAATCCACTGCCTGCAGCGCCGGCAGCCCATATGGGCACCGGTTCTAGTCCCCGCTGCTCCTCTTCTGATCCAGCTCTCTGCTGTGGTCTGAGAAAACAGTAAAAGATGGCCCAAGTGCCTGGGTCTCTGTACCCACGTGGGAGACCTGGAAGACGCTTCTAGTTCCTGGCTTCATACTGGCTCATCTCAGCTCCGGCCGTTATGGCCATTTGGGGAGTGAACCAGCAGATGGGAGACCTTTCTCTCTATCACTCCCTCTCACGGTCTGTAACTCTACCACTCAAATAAATAAATAAAATAAAATAAAAATAGAGTACCGCATTGATTTACATTGTGGTGCAAGTTCCTTATCTTGCTGTGAAATAGCACTTTGAGAGCCCCTAGTTTATAACTAAAAATTGAAAATAGCCCAAGTGTCCATCAATGGAGTATTTGCTAGATAAATTGCAGTAGATCCCTAAATAAAATCGTATGTATTCATTTAAAATAATGAAATCTACATATATTGATATACATGTGATGGATGGGGGAAAACCGCAGAGGGGAATGGATATAATAATTAGTGCAAGATGGAAAATCACGCAATTTCAAGCTCCTGGAAGCATGTGAGACATTGCTGAACACAATTCTCTCTCTTTTTTTTTTTTTTGACAGGCAGAGTGGACAGTGAGAGAGAGAGACAGAGAGAAAGGTCTTCCTTTGCCGTTGGTTCACCCTCCAATGGCCGCTGCGGCTGGCGCGCTGCGGCTGGCGCATCACACTGATCCGAAGGCAGGAGCCAGGTGCTTCTCCTGGTCTCCCATGGGGTGCAGGGCCCAAGCACTTGGGCCATCCTCCACTGCCTTCCCGGGCCACAGCAGAGAGCTGGCCTAGAAGAGGGGCAACCAGGACAGAATCTGGCACCCCGACCGGGACTAGAACCTGGTGTGCCGGCGCCGCAAGGCGGAGGATTAGCCTAGTGAGCCACGGCGCTGGCATATAATTCTCTTTGAGATTTGAGACTGAGAGTGTGGAGAGACAAGGAATGCGGTTGTTTGTTTATTTTATTGTTTTTACCTTGTGCCCTTCTACACTGTTTAAATTTTTCTGCAACTAACATAAGTGATACTTATAATTCTTTAAAATGCTAACTACATTTTATGATTTTGCTTACATAACAAGCATTCCAGCCAGATTAGACTTATTTCCAGAAACTGATTTTGGGCTGAAATTTGTTTTTGAACATTTATTGAGGCCATCTTTACTTGGGGTGGATTTCTATAGAACCATTTGTGTTAGATGTAAATACATAGCAGCTTGTTTTTCCAAACTCAGAAATCTGTTTTTCTCACCTTAAAAGTAAAAAGTTTTTGAGGCCAGCATTGTGAAGTAGCAGCTATAGCTGCCACCTGCAACACTGGCATCCCATATGGATGCTCGTTCAAGTCTCGGCTGCTCCACTTTGGATCCAGCTCTCTGCTATGGCCTGGGAAGGCAGCGGAAGATGGCCCAAGTGCTTGGGCCCCTGCACCCATGTGGGAGACCTGGATGAAGCTCCTGGCTCCTGGCTTCAGCTTGGCCCAGGCCTGGTCATTGCGGCCATTTGGAGAGTGAATCAGTGAATGGAAGACTGGTTTTCTCTTTCTCTCTAACTCTGCCTTTCAAATAAATAAAAATAACTTTTTGATTGATTTTTAAAAATTTTTAAAGAAAAGTTTACTGGGGCCAGCGTTGTAACACAGCAGGTTAACCTGCCACTCACAACACCAGCATCTCATATGCACACGGGTTCGAGTCCTGGCTGCTCCACTTTGGATCCAGCTCCCTGCTAATGACACTGGGAAAGCAACAGAAAATGGCCTAAGTGCTTGGGTCCCTGTCACCCCCAAGAGAGAACTGGATGGAGTTCCACTCCAGGCTCTTGGCTTCTACATAGCCCAGCCAGGGTCACTGTGGTCATCTGGGGAGAGAAGCAGCAGATAGCTCAATCTAATTCTGCTTTTCAAATAAATAAGTAAATCTTATAAAAAGTTCAGTATGACTAATGCACACATCCTCCAAACCACATTTTCAGTTCATCTGCAAAATGGGTTTCAGAAGTTCCAAGAGGTGTATTTGAAATTCTGTCCAGGGGGTGTGACAATCAAACATCTAGTTCTGATCATATTTGTTGCAAGGAAATACAGGACAAGAAACTGTTGGTGTTCTGAAGGTCCTAAATCGGGGAGACCAGGACAAGTGCTATGACAACACTGGACAATTGAAGGGTCTGTGTGCTTTCACGGAAACCCCAACTCAGAGTGCCGAAAGGTGTGGGCTGCGAGCCGTCTGGGGCGGGTGTGTGTGGAACATTCATTGTCCTTGCCACCGGCTCAGTGCCGTGCTACGTGCAAAGCATTTTTACATCTCACTGCAAACTCGAGACAGACCTTTGGAGAAAGTCCATTTCATGGATCTAATTTTATTGATGCAAACACTGGGCAGAGATGACTTGTTTTTTTTTTTTCCCCCCAAAGTCTCTAAAGAGGAAAGTGGCGGAGGTGTCAGGATAAGTCCTTAGCTACACTCCACACTGCCTCCCACACAGCCCATCTCCACCGCCCAGCCAGAAGGGTCGGGTCTGCTTGCTCTTAGGCGCTGCGTTTATTTGCATGACATGAGATGCCATGGAGCTGGACGAGTTCAAAAGCAGACCACGGCTGTTGCCACTGTTTGTTAAACCCTGCTACTTGGAGCAGGCGGAAGCCAGAAGTTGGAGATTCTTCATAGGCATCTACAGCCCCAAGCAAGACAAGTAGAGGGAAAAGAAATCGTTTATCCTAAAGAAGGAAGTTACCGCACGCAATGTCTTTTCTTTTTTTAAAGATGTATTTATTTATCTGAAAGTCAGAGTTACACAGAGAGAGGAGAGGCAGAGAGAGAGAGGAGAGAGGTCTTCCATTCGCTGGTTCACTCCTCAATTGGCCGCAATGGCCGGAGATGCACCGATCCAAAGCCAGGAGCCAGAGGCCTCCTCTGGGTCTCCCATGCGGGTGCAAGGGCCCAAGGACTTGGACCATCTTCTATTGCTTTCCAAGGCCACAACAGAGAGCTGGATCGGAAGTGGAACAGCCGGGACTTGAACCGGCGCCCATATGGGATGCTGGCGCTACAGGCAGTAGCTTTACTGCTAAGCCACAGCGCCGGCCTCATGCTGTGTTTTCTATCTGTCTGTCCTTCCTAACATTTGCTCTGCTTTATGCTTCCTCCAGGAAGTTCAAAGTGATGTTAAGAAAATGGTCATCTCGAAGTTCCTTCTAACGAATTTCATGGCAGCCTTTCAAGTCTGACACCTTTGCCTTCCAGAGCTCTCCATTAAGTGACTCATGGCTGGGGTGGACAATGTGGTACAGTGGGTTAAGCCATCACTTGGGACACCTGCATCCTTTATCAGAGTGCCTGGTTCAAGTCCCAGCTACTCTGCTTCCAAGCCAGCTCCCTAGTAACGTGCCTGGGAAACCACCAGTTGATGGCTCAAGTATTTGAGTCCCTGCCACCCACGTGGGAGACCCATATGGAGTTCACGGCTCCTGGCTTTGGCCTGGCCCAAATCTGGTTGTTGTGGCTAGTAGGTGAGTGAACCAACGGATGGAATATCTTTCTCTCTCTCTCACCTTCTCTGCACTCTGTCTTCCAACTAAATAAATCTTCTCAAAAAAGATTAACATAAATGACTCATATTCCATTTATATTTTTACTTTCTTGTATATAACTCCTATATATAGGAGTTATAATTATGTGATAATACCAACCCATTACTAAACACCTCTTTTCTGCCAGGGCACTATGGTAGATGCTTTATAAATCCAATTGTTATCTCAAGTTTCTAGCAGGCTCCACTAGGTGGACTGTCTAGTTCACCGCCAAGGATTTCTCTCCAGTACCGAGTGCTCTGGTGAGGATGCTAATTGTATTAGCTACTGAAAGGTATTTAGTGAATGTGCTCATTTGAAAGTTGTGTATTTTAATAGTCACATCACACTCTCTTTTCGTCGGCTCTCCAAGGTGGTTGGTGGTCTGCGGTGATGAAATTCAAAACCCAGTAGAGACCCAGGGCCCCCGCATCACACCCCTCACCCACCAAGCAGAATCCCGGCACATAATGCACCCCTGTGTCCTACGGCTTTCTCCACCTGCTCGCCTCCCAAAGGAAAACAAAACCCAGAGGATCGTTGAGGTCTAGAAATTAGCTTTTATTTTAAATCTGTCAAGAACTCCTGGCACATCTTAATTTTATTAAAATGATTACATCTGGCAAAACAAAGGAGAGAGGTCACTCTCTTTCTCTACAACATAAATAACCAGTTAGAGCCTCAGCTGCTGACTCAGCATCGTGCGAGAGTCTTTGAAAGAACTTTAATTTCCAGAAAATGTTTAAAGCAGCAAAAGAAAAAATAAATTAAAAGTAATTGCAATGGCAACTATTGCCAAGGATGTGCTAATTATAAAATCTTGATGTGTTTATACGCCAGACGACATGCTTTGGTATTTAAAAACAAAAATCATTTGAATTGTGGTCCTATACTGGCTTGTCATTTATAGTTCATAACACAAAACACATTTTTTGCTTTTTTTTTCCAAAAAAAAGATGACAAAAATGAATCATGACTAATTCAAACAAAATACAACCAGCAGTCACTCATCTAACGGAAAAATGTTAAAACAAAAACACTTTTATTATAATAATTCATACCGGAATAACTTACAATAGTATGAAAAAGAGTGAAGTATTTGTCCTTAGTTTTCATTGACGTACTCACATTTTTGCAAAAATTGCTTTGTAAAGATTCCCAAGTGTTTTTTTTTAACCATGAACTTCGAACTAGTTAAGGATCTAAACCAAAAACGCATACTTCATCTGTTCATACAGTCATAACTTACATATCTTGCTTTGCATTTACTGTCACTGCAAACAGCGATTTAGAAAACAAAGTAAAAATATATATATACAAAATATTTTATATCAAATTATCTTCATTACACTAAATAAACCCAAGCCCCCAAAGGCTATGATACATGAAAAAGTGACCTAGAGTTTATATCAAGACTGATGCTGTCCATACATCAACTGGAGCAACCTTTGGTTTTAAAAACATTTTGCAAAGTAAAGAAAAATGCTACCACAGGGCTGCACTACCAGTTCTTATTCACACTCACAAAAATGCTTTCCAGTTTAAAAAAAAATTTAAAAATAGATGACATACCCAGAAAAAAAATCTCGCCATAAAAAAGCCCAATCCTTTTTATGTTTCTGTAGCACACGCACTCTGGTATAGTTGGCATTTCCACTGCTTATTCAAGTTTCAAGTCTTCCCAAGCTGATCAGAATATTCTTCTTCTTCTGAGATTGATTATTCTCACTGAATGGTAGTCTAACTTAGAAACAAAACTCTCTTTCTCTGGATGCATGATTTCACTTAATTTTTGCTTAAATATCCTCGTTGGCAAAACTCAGAGACTGCTCCACGTTTTGCTTTCCATATGTTTTAAATTTAAAAATAAATTTTATGCATGTATATGTGCTATTCACATAGAGATACATTTCTTTCATTGTCTTGTTCTCATTGCAATACAAATCGTCCACCAGCAATTATAATTTGAAATGAACCAAACAAAAAAAGTTTTTAGTCATTCCATATGAAAAAGTTTTCTCTTCACAGAAAAAAATACTGAACTCTTAATGCAAACAAGATTACAAGTTTTAAAAGTACACTCTTTTTCTAATGAAAACTTTTGAGTTTTTTTTTTTTTTTTTTGAACTTCAGCCAAACTTGAGAGAGTGAAAATCCAAATCAATTCTACTGGACATTGTGCTTAAAAACAGGGTTGCTGGTCACCACGTAGTCACTGCAGTTTTAAATTCATGTGAAGGAATCAACTTTTAAATGCACACATTATGCTGCTCGCAGCGCCCCTGCATTGTGGAGGTTTGCGATAGGTCAGATCTGCAGGCTAAGGACGTGTGCATAAAATTCTCACTGTCACTCTGAAAGACGCAGTGTCGACATCGTCTGGAAAGAGCAGTTCATGTGGGCTGCACCGATTTCCAAGTTCCAACGTGTGCACTGCTGAATATGCTTGCAGGGCTTCTAGCAACTCTGGTTCCAGTCCTGGAAGAGTTAGGTCCGTCTCGGCTTGATGCACGCAGCCTAACAACCATCTGGGGTTGGCCTGTGAGACACAGCCGTCCCACTCTGCCCACGTTGGTGCTGACTTTCGGGAAATAAGGCACTTACTGTAATGGTAAGACAGGCGTTTTATGCATAGTTTGAGTAACATAAAATAAGTTAATACTTTCGATTAAAATGAGTTTTTTTTTATAATTTATATGTCTTTTATAGAAGCAACTAAATGATATACTTAGGGTAATTAAAAAGAGGAAGAGGTTTGCAAGAGAGTCATTTGCACCCCAGCTTCGGCTCTTAAGGACGAGGACGGCAGAGAAGGCAGGGACAGGATCTGAGAGTGACAAGCCCTTAGAATTGCGGCACCAGGGGGACCCGGACCGTCTTGACTTCCGCTATATGGGATGACTTCTGGATGATGCAGCTGGCGGTCCCTTGCAGAGTGTCCTTCCCTTGGGCCAGGTTTGTGAGAGCCATGGCTGCATTGATCTCCTTCCAATACGTGTCGTCCTTGTTCGGCCGCGTTCTGTTAGCTGCACTGGATTTAAGCAGAACGGAGAGAAAACCATCAGATTCCCTGCGGCTGGCACTAAGAATGTCATCCTTGCAAAGCACAAATGGCAAAGGAAAACAATTTTTCTCACCCGTCACCCTTGTTGGATCCATTTTCTGGAGTGTCTGTGAAGAGAAGCAAATATTCAATTACTTTTTTGTTTTTCCTTTTCTTGGTTTTCATCTCAATAGTTGCACTAGTAATGACCAGGAATAAATGCACGTTAGGACAAACGGTGGATAACTACTTTTTTTTTTACAAAGAGAAGGCATTTTATATTGACGGATTTTTTTTTTTTTCTGCTAAGAAGCAGGAGGAAGACAAGAGTGGACAACAGAGAATGGCGCGTAGCTTTCATAGACAGTCAAACACCTGAGGTTCGTTTGCTGTGAGAAATCCCGCCGTTGTAAACAAGAGGTGAACAGTACAGGGAAAAGATGCTGGGCTCTGGCCTTGTTGGACCACTCACCTGCTGCATGGTTCTGGGCAGACGGCGAAGCTCCCTGGGGTCTGGGACTCCAGTTTCTCTACTCCAAAGCAACTGCGTTTCTACAACATCTCGGGGTGGCTCTGGCTCCAGATGCCATGGGAACCATCCCTTCATTTCAGAGAAAGCACTGGCAAACCGCCCCACTGGGTCAGTTAGCAGGTGAGCAGGTGGCCCTGTCTGCCAGCAATGCAGGTTTTCCTGGGGTAGGAGAGAGCTGGGGAGCAGTCTGCAGGCTCCCCAGCTCCCCACTGCTTTCCCCTACCCCAGCCCCGCCCGCAACTCGCTGCTGCAACAGGTGCAGTGGAAGACGCATTACCAGCTCCTTCTACACCCTGAAGACAAACCTCTCCCAATGCCACATAAAGAGGAAGCTGAAAACAGGTTCTCTTTTTTTCTTTTACAACTTAAAAAAAACCTATATTTCCAAAGATTTCCTTGAAATGCAGAAAGAGATAGAGAGATAGAGAGAGAGAGAGAGAGAGAGAGAGAGATCTCCCATCTGCTGGTCATTCCCCAAATGCCTGCCAACAACTGGGGCTGAGCCAGGCCATAGCAGAGAGCTGGATGGGAAGAGGAGCAGCCGGGACTCAAACTGGCGCCCATATGGGATGCCAGCACTGCAGGCAGCGACTTTATCCACTACGCCACAGTGTCGGCCCCTAGGGTGCACACTATTAGCAGAAAGCTGGAATCCAGAGCCAAGCCAGGACTTGAACCAGGCACCCCAACGTGGGACGCAGGATCCCAAGAGGAGTCTTCACCACTGGCTGAACTCCAGCCAGCCCTGGAAGCAAGATCTTGATCTGTGTTTGATTCCTTTGGGTAGCTCTTTTGTCCTAGAGAATTTGGTGGGAGAAACAGCTAGGGACACACTGGAAAGAAAGATGTGTAAGGGTGAGAGGGACTACCCGTGTAATCCAAGAAGGGGTAGGGCTGGCAGACTCCAAAGCCAGCCAAGGGTTAGGTCCCTGCCACCATCACCGTGGCCATCCACACAGCAGTGACCTTTGGCGAGGAGTGAAGGAGGCACTGTGCCTCCCCTGGGGAAACACAGAAAATACCACGTCTCCAGTCATGCCCTCTGGAAAAATCCTTCCGCCTTCCTTTTGCTCTCCCAACCCAATCTCTCCCAAGGCAGGCTTTTCCACCGCTGCGCACAGACAGCACAGACAGCACCTTCTGAGCCGGGCTCCAAGAGTCACAGAACGATTAAGCCAAGAGGAGAGCAATGTCAGTGTGATCACAGGCCCAGGGCACTCAAGAAGGTTCCAGTCAAATCTGTGCACGCGCGGGATCTTTAAAAAGCTCGGGGGTGGGGGTGGAGGTGGAATCTATGCAGGACTTTGTGTGTGTGTGTGTGTGTGTGTGTGTTTTTCACCAGAATAAACTTTTCTTCTAATTCCAGGCTTCCAGGATCTTTCAGAAGATCCCCTCATACAATGCAACCAGGGTCCTGACTCCCAGGGAAGAGACAGTCATTACAGAGAAAATCGTTATAGGGCCATGTAGACGAGGACAGGAAAGCCTGCTAAGCTATCCTGGGTGGAGGCTTGCAGTGTAGACTGTGAAACAATAACTGGGCACTGTGAGCTCTTTCCACAATCTTTTCTTCGAGGGACCCAGGGAACTTTAGGAAAAACACGGAGAACCAGTGAGTGTTTACATCAGTGTTTACTGATGCCCACTCTGGCCCCTTCTGGACTAGTGTGGGTGAGGTTACCTCCACTGCTTCTGGTAATTATGGAAATATAAAAAGTACTCCATCGGAGGACAAGGCGATAACATTTTGTTCCCAGAACTCTGACAGTCCTTACAAAGCACTTCCTCTATGCCCGGCTGTGTGCTAAGCACTTCTGCGTTTTAACTTATTTAGTATCCATGGCCTTGACCGTGGCTAGCTAAGTCATTCCTTGTTGAGTACTGTCATCTAGATCAGTCTTTACACCCAGGAATGACAGGGACAAGGTGCTACCAGGACAGAGAACAAGTTGGGAAGCAAAGCCAGCATCATTGGACACTTTACAGAGAAAGAGAGAGAGAGAGAAAAAAAAAAGTTGCCTGCAAATTGCAACAATTCCATCGCCAAAGTGAAGCAATAGGTTATGGAGATAGTTGCCCCATGGAAAGGCTTGGCAAAAAGAGAGCCAAGTTTCTTTCTTTCTTTCTTTTTTTTTTTTTTTTTTTTTTAAGATTTATGTATTTATTTGAAAGAGTTACACAGAGAGAGAAGGAGAGGTAGAGAGAGACAGAGAGAGAGGTCTTCCATCCACTGGTTCACTCCCCAGTTGGCCGCAATGGTTGGAGCTGTGCTGATCCGAAGCAGGCGCCAGGAGCTTCCTCCGGGTCTTCCCTTGTGGGTGCAGGGGTCCAAGGACTTGCTTTCCCAGGCCACAGCAGAGAGCTGGATGGGAACTGGAGCAGCCAGGACTCAACCCGGCGCCCATATGGGATGCCAGCACTGCAGACGGCAGCTTTACCCGCTATGCCACAGCGCCAGCCCCAGCCAAGTTTCATACACATTAAATGACATTAAGGAAATCACGTAACACAATGTAGAAAAAAAAAAAACCATATAAACTGACGCTCAGCCTCAGAGGGGTGACTGCACTGAAGGGAGCCCCTCGAACATGCAGTGCGTGCAACCAGCTCCAGGGACACAGAAATGCCAGCAGCGCCTGCCTGCAGCCCCCGTGTGCATTCACCCGGCAGGAGGGCTTGTCAAGTGCACGCGAGAAGTGACCTTGCACGCCTTGCAGCCCCAGCAAGGCCTGGATGGGGCTGGCTGTGTCTGTGGTTGACTCCTTGAACTTGTTCCACGGGGAGAGAAACCCGTTGACTGCAGCCAACTGTGAAATTAAAGGTTCTGCTTGCTCTCTGGGTGGAGGTGATCCCCACTCTGGTGCCCAGGAAAATACCTTTGAAGTGTAAAAGCCCAACTCCGGGTTGGGTGGGTATTCATCAGGTTTGTGAATTGTAACAATGTATCGGGCGGGGTCATTCCTTATTGCCAGAGGATAGGCGCCTCCTTTGTCCTTAGATACAAGTTAGGTTCCTTGCCAGGAACAGGAGGAAAAGCTTCCCAAAAAAGTAACCCGAAGCAACATTTTGCTCCCTTATGAATAGTCATTGCTGAAGGGGCAAGTAACAAAACTCCATGTCAGAGACTTCAGACCCACAAGAAAGAGCTGACTCCAATTCCATATTTTCTGGATGGCAGGGGGTCTGTGTGTCTGTCTGCTAGCAGACACATGCTGGTGGGCTGCTGGTGTCACTCCAGGATATCACCCATCCGAGAGTCACCTCCTGCCGTGCTGTCACTTCCCAGAGGTAGCAGCAACAGGCAGACAGCACACAGGAGCCCTTTTACGGTGAAACGTGTGTGTGTGTGTGCTATTTGTAGGAAAGCGAGCGCTCCAAAGATCTGCTAGTTTGGGGCGCTGTTTTCCTGTGATGCTCAAAGGATATCTAGGAAAATGTCCCAGTTATTTTAGAGAATTGATACCATTTGCAGAGAACTCAGAAAAAACTGATAATATACTCATTTTATGAAATGGTTGCATAGAATGTGGTCATGCCTTCTTCCTGAGCTGTTTTTCCTTCAAAGTAACAACTCACTGGCTATTAACCTGCTTTGCTTGTGCTGTTTCTTTGCAGGCCACGCTTGGTATGGTATTTAAGGAGCAGGTGTGTTTATCATTGCCCATCACCCAGCGGTCACAGGGCTCATGCCTCTGGCTACTCATGGCCAACAGGAGGTCTGGAGCCTGGTCCCCTCCAGATGCGGCACCCAGTGGCACCACAATGTGACAGCAGAAGGATTCCGAATGCTGTGCACAAGAGGGCACCGGGCAGCCGGCGCTGGCTCCTGGGTGCAGTTCACAGCACGCACAGGGCTCGGCCCGACTGCCCCCTACGTGGCTGCAAAGTAGCTTGGCTGGACTGCCATACGTTTTTAGATTCTAAGCTTCCAAAAACCAGGTCCTCTGGCAATTACCATAAAAAGCAACTGGTTGGCAGGAACAAAGCACTGAACCAGCCAACAGAGTGTGTTTTAAGATCCACCCCCCCCCCAAAAAAAAAGAAGTGCAGAGTTAGGGAAATCTTGGACTCTGTAAAAACCCAAACCATGTTGAAACTGAAAATGGGGCTACCCTCAGTTTGGACATGTGTTTTCTTATAAAGTTAAGTGGAGAAACAATTATACTAAAAACCCAGTTCTGTTGCAACTTGCAAACAGAGCAGCCCAGAGCTGTGTGGATGAAATGTCCTTCCAATTTCGATAAATGCAATTCAGGAGCACACAAAATCTGATATATAATATCTGTGGCCTAAAGAGAGACCAAAATAGGGCCAAATTCCATTCTCTGAGAGCTTTTTTCTTTTCAAATTTAATCAATAAACCCAAAAAATTAGGAATGTTTTAAGCCATCCCCTAAAAACTACTCGCATCACTGAAATGTAAACGCAGTTAAGTAAGATTAAGAGTAGGAGTAATTTTTTTTAAACGATAATTGGAAAATCATGTTGTGTATATTTTTTTAAATTAAAATAGAAAGAGGACAAGGGGTGGAGGTCCCTAAGGCACCACAGCCCCAGGAAGAAAATGAAAGGTACAGTCTGCCTCTGCATTCACTG